AACGTGCTAAGTAACCTTGACAGCCAAAAGCTCCGGCTATCCGTTCATAATTTGCTTGCATTAATGATGTTGGCGGTAAACTACAGGTTTTTTTTTAATGAAAAAAAAAAATATAGAACTAAACCTGTAGGTAAAATGTCTTTGCATGACATGTCTGGTCAATTTCCTTTCACTTATATATCATCCTAGGGGATCAAAAGTAAGTAGCTAGAATTAGGAGGACTTCATGCTGTTTCAAATTATATATTTAGAATTTTCTTTTTTTGGCTTACAGTTAATTCAGTGAGAACTAATATTTGTTCAGCAAATGTTTATAGCTTTTGATTCTTTTGTATTCTAGCTTATTTTAATCTATCATATAGGAGAAAATTATAATTTCTACAATACTAGAAAGTTAAAATGATGCCAAAATTTCATTTATATAAATTGTAAATAACAGATAAAGTCTATTTTACTTAAATAGTTGTTCGTTGGTCATCAACCGTAAATTAGATGAAAAAAAAGCTCAACAAAAATTTAGAAAAAATATCAAATTCTGATTTTAACTGGCTTCTTTTAATCATTTTCAATGATCTCTAGACGTTCATACAATGAGTAAACATATTTACGAACATCTTTTTTATTTTATGTGATGTACAAAAGTCATATTTGGTTGCCATTACAAAGAGTATGAGATCCTTTTTCTAGCTAATTACTTTTGATTTTCATAAATGAACGAAAATTGATCAGACATATTGTACAAATTCTTTTTATACATAGGTTAATTATCGATTAAAGAATGAAATTATACTTTAAAGCAGCATCTTTTTTAGCCGCTTCTTGAAATGATTCAGCATCGATACCAGCATAAATACCACCATTATTAATTATGATAAATATAATTGGAAGATTATAACTAATATGAAAATAAAAAGAAATAAATTCGTATATTTCGAATAATGAACTATCTTACCGAGCAGCTGTTTCAAATTCAAGACCACTAAAACCAAAAGCACTATCACCTTCAACACAAATTACACGTTTTTCAGGCTCATAATCTTGACAATAAGCAGCTGCTGCTATTGCAAAACCGGGACCAACACCCATTGTACCTAAATTGTTTTTTTTTAAATAAATAAAAATTTTCAAATATTTAATCTTTTTTTTGTTTTTGAAAAAAAAACAGAACATGGGCTCATACCAAATGTTCCAGCATCAAGCCGATGACGAGCTTTAGAATTCAGTAACATCGTTCGTCCAATATCCATTGTATTAGCACCTTCACTTACGATGATTGCATCTTGCGGAAGAATAGATTGAATCTAAAAATAAAACAGAATAAATTTAACAGAAAAGAAATTTAAGGATTTAATTAGAACATACTGCATTAAATGCTGAATAATAATTAAGCATAGAACTATCTGTTGAATTAATAAGAGCCTAAATAAAATAACAAAATCAGATATAATATAATTATATAATATATACACTACGAATAGAAACAATGAATATTTAAAATAATTAACTTTTCGTTCAGAGAGAAAACTATTCTTAAGTCTAGAGATAATTGTTCATTTATTTTCTTTATAAAAAAAAACATCAATTTATTATCCCCTGTTTTTTGTTTTTGAAATTGCCTTACATCACTTCGTTGTTTATTCGCAGTCAATTTCTTTCTAAGTAAATTCCACCATTGTGTTGCTGCATCATATTTCCAATTTGTCTTAATTTCGTTCAACTAGAAAACAAAAATGAAAAAAACAATGTTTTATTTTTTGGTTATTTTTAATAAATAGATAAACAATATCATTTACTTGTTTTAATACTGTTTTAAGATCAGCTTGAATTGCTAATGCACTTTGAACATTATTATGTAATTCATGTGTATCTGTATCAATCTAAATATATTGGGAGATAAAGATTATTTAATGAGAAGATGAAAACAAAAACAAAAAAATTTTACTTGAATTATTTTAACATTTGGATCAAAACGAGGTGGTTTACCAAAATGAAGCATCCAATTAAGACGTGCTCCAAGTAAAATAATACAATCAGCATCTTTTAATGCAGTTGAACGTGCTGCACCTACAGATAATGAATGACGATCATCTAATGTTCCTTTACCCATAGGTGTTGCAAGAAATGGTAAATTATATTGTTCAATAAATTTTTTTGCTTCTTCTTCAGCAAATCCATATGAACAACCTAATGATTAGAATTAGTTTTTCAAAGACATATATATGTACATACAAATAATTACCTTTTCCAATGATTACAAGTGGTTTTTGACTTTGTTTAAGTAAATTGAAAAATTCATCGAGTGATTCACGGCTAGCAGCAGGTTTTGGAGGTAATTTATATTTTGGTACTTGTCTGAAAAAGAAAATATTTATTATATTTAAGTTAAATCAAATATATTTTACTCAATACGATTTGAATCTATTGAAGAAGTAACAAGTTCACCTGGAATGTCAAGATAACTTACACCTGAAGGTGAATAAATTGAAGAACGAACAGCCTATTAAATAGACATTTTCTTCATTAAAATTTTAAAATCATAATATTGATTTTACTTTTTCAACAAAGAATGGAACTCGCTCAAGTGTTGATATACGAGCAGCATATTTTGAAAATAGTCGTGCTGCTTCAACCTATAAAAATAAAATCAAATACTATTTTTCTATCACTAATACGAATATGATTCTATACTTGTGGAAATTCTTGGAATGCACCCATAGATTCTTGTGGTTGATCAGAAGAACCAGCTAAGACTACCATTGGCCTATTGTGTATACATTTATTTAATTAATTATAAATATTATATTTACCATTTATTAATTTGAGCATTTGCCATACCACCAAGAGCATGAATAAGACCAGGTCCCGATACTGTTAAACATACAGCTGGTCTATCAAAAATAAATAACGTGACTCTTTCAATTGTATATCGATCATAATATTACATACTTTCCTGTCAAATAACCAATAGCTGATGCAGCGTAAGATGCCTACACAAAAAAGAACAAACGCAAACTAGACAAGAATTTTTCTATTATTTTATTAAATACAGATTGTTCATTATGCATTCCAATATATTTAATTTGTGACTGTTGAGCAGCAAATGCAACTTCAATTATTGGAATACCAACTACACCAAAAATGTATTCGATACCCTAAAAAAAAATATTCGAACGTGTGCAAGTAGTTATGACACTTATCTATCAGTTTTGATTCAGTTTCGAAAAAATACGAATCGATCGTATCTCTAATGCCTATCGTCTTGTCTCTCCTGATTACTCGATTCATTTCTTTTTACCTGTTTCTTTAATGCTTCCGCAATGAGCTGAGCACCCATTACTTCATTACCTTCCGGTAAATTGTTTGAAACAATATCAATTTGACTCTTCGAAGAAGCTTCCATTTTCTATTTGTAATATATAAAAGAGAATTTATTTATTATTGTTAATAAAGAACTCTTGTATACAGATGTAAGACAAGTGCGTAAAGTATTTGAGAACAATAGTTTGCGTCTAACTTGACGAATAATAGCTGAATACATTTTATCTAGAAAAAGCAAAGACAAAAGAAAAAGGTGTGTGTGTTCTTTATTTTTTTTTTTAGTCAACAAAAAAAAAAGACATAATATAACGAGAACGAAATAAATCAAGGCTAGTTTAAAATAAAGATTCTTACCAGAAGAATCATCTCTAGAAGAAAAATTCATATGAATTTTACATAAAAATTTGATCAAACGAATTGTCAAACTATTTTAAGCATTCAAAATACAAAAAAACAGAATATACAACAAAAATTCTATTGAATTCAGCTATCTGTCACCTTTACTTTGCTTGAATATAATAGCGAGATTAAATTTATAAAGGAAACGAAAGCAAATGAAATTGAAGAGTAAAGTTCACATATGAAGATGAATAAATATTTCATAAAACAACCAGGTGTAGATAAAATGTTTGCGGTATTTTTATTGTTTTTCATGTATTTTCGTTGAGGAATATAGTAGAATTTTTTTTTATTCAAAAGATACGTTATTTAATAGTCTATCAGAATTACACAAGCAAATCTTTATAGTTAATTATAAAATGAACTCGTCTATTGTCCACGCTACTTCTTCTTATACAATATTTTTGAATAGTTTAGATATTTTTCAATGAACAATGTCAATGATAGTTCATTTATTTTTTGTATGGAACATTTTGAAATAAAATCCGACGTAAAGTAACTTTTTTAAAGCAGAAAAGTTATCATTTATTGTAAGAGTAAAAAGTTCATGTCTTATTTATCGCAGTGCGATTCTCTTATAAAGAGTTTTTCCTAGAAATATACTTGAAACAACAGTGACTTTCTTGGACGGAGAACTTTATCATGAGCTTCTAAAAGAAATGTAGACTGAAGTTTCAAAAAAAAAAAGACATGAACTAAACACAACGTTGAATTATGAATATGAGAAGATGTTACACAAAAATGATCTAACCTCAGATCAACAATTTGATAAAACATTTTTTTTTTCTGTACTCGTGACTTCATTATTCTCATTTAATGAAATATCATGAAGGCAAAAAGTTTAATTATGACTTATATTTTTTGAGTTATATTTCGATTTTTTATAAGAAAAAGTAGCATGACAATAGACATTTTCACTTTTAATGATACATTTAAATTTCAACAATAACTACAAAAGAATAATAAAATTTTGTATTTCAGATAGAATATGAAATGACGTCTCTCTTTCGAAGAAAAAAAAAAGCAAGGTGTTATAAAATTATTGCCATATTCGATAGAAACATGAATATTATAAAATAATAAATAAGAATCTAAAGATTTTTTGGTATTGTGTAAATATTTTTTGTTACATTCACCGGTATTGCTGGATTATTTTCATCATGTATTACTTGTTGATTATGTATAAGATTTGTTGTTACTCGTTTATTTGATATTTGTAAATGTCTATAATCACGTGTTATAGCCATTGAAGCATATTCAAGTTCAATATCATTTGATAAATCTAATATACTTAAAACTTTTTCAATTGGAAATTGTAATGGTAAATATTCTGATAATTGTGCAATCTTTTAGTTTTTTTAGTAAAAAAAAAAAAAGAAAATCAAAAATTATTATTATTTTTTTTTCTTTCAATTACTTACTAATTTTGGTTTAATAAATTGTTTAAGTGATTTAGTTGTTCGACTAAACATCCAAAGAATAGTTTGTAACCAACCAAGAAAATAATTTACTGGTCGAACATTATCACTAGAAAAAAGTTCTTTTGATGACCAATCTAAAAATTCATGATAAACATTTAAAACAGTTATATCTTCAGATTTCGGTATAATATTATGATAATTATCATCAATTGTATCAAATAACATTGAATCAATTGGTTGATAAATTTGTTTCCATGATTTAACATGAAATAAATCTTCTAATTGATCATTTTTTGTATTAAGTTCAAGTAATAATAATATATTTAATAATAAACACATACTATAAACATTTGGTTCAAGCATAAATTCATTTGATTTAATATTTATTAAATAAGGTAAAACTTGTTGTAAAAGACAACGTGTTGATGAACGTCGTCGAAATAAAATAAAACCAAATATAAAAAAAATTCCACGACATGTTTCATATATACCATTTGATGTATTTATATTTGTTAATAAACGTATTAATATTAAATTAATTGGAACATATTTTGAACAAATATATAAACCACGTGATTGTTCACAATCAAGAAATTCATTTGTTAAATATATATCAAATAATGTTAAAATTAATGTTGTTGCTGTTTGAGGTGATGATGGAGTATAATTATTAATAATTGATGATGATGGTATTGGAGAAAGAAGTGTATAATATGGAAATATAGAATTATCAATAAAATCTGACCATAATTGACGTTTTATAGCATCAAATAAAGAAGATATTGTTGATGTTGAATCAATTGATGTACCTATCAAATAAATTTTTAAAAGATAATCATAATTATCAAAAAATTTAATTGATAAGAGAATCAATTATATTAGACTGATGGAAAAATTTTCTCGAAAAGATAGTTCATGTATCCGATATAAATTTTTGTATCAATTCTTAGACTAATGATTAAAGAATATGGAATCAAGCACTTATTTTATTGGTATAGTTATATTTTTTTCTAAAAGTAACGAAAAATCTGAACATATTTCAATTCGATATGCGTCAAGAATATGATAAGTCTATAATATTGTCTTTTAGTATGATAAAGAATATATCATTTCATATTTATTCTTCTGTTCTGACATATGTAGATAAAGGAATACTTCTGTAATCTTTGAATCAGTAACATTTATGTAGCTTTTTTTTTTCTTTTATTTGCTCAAAGAATTATATAACGTATGAAAGAATGAAGTTGGAATTACATGTCCGAAACTAAGATCAGAACTAGAAAAAAATCAGTTTTTCGGATTCCAATGCTTTCTATCTAATGGTTTGTTTCAACATAATGACGATACTGATTCTTTTATGTTAGTTAGTTTTTGTTCTCGCTTTTGTGAAACACGATCTGAAAGGAGTGTTGAAGTATATAGGGTAGAAATTTGGACCTCCCCCTATCCTCCCACAGACACCTTAGCAACCATCACAGACCGTGACAGACATTTTATTAATTAGTTGGTTAATAACTAATTAAGACCTCATTGATTAGAGTTAGTGGCTAATTAATTAAGTAGTTAATTAATTAATTAACGACTAGTTTGGGACTGATTATTTACATCATAATTAAGGATTGGTTGCTAATAGAATACTCCTCACAGACGATGACTAACACCTCTAATATATTCATAAACACTCCGAGAAGCAATCATTGAGTATACAAGACTATTGATATAAGATCAAAGACCACGCATCAAAAACGTTTTATTATAACGTATAAAGTAATTTTTGATTCCAGTTTTGAAGGAATGGGTAAAACAATATTTAAGAAATGTGCTCCGAAATAGATAAATTTAAAAGATTCCCCTGCAATTAGGAAAAGCAGTTGGATCGTGTTTCACATTTTAATCCGGGAAGGGATTGCGCTGAAAGCTTTTACTGAATAGAATACAAAATTCCAGATATGTTGTTAGACTCAATTAATTTAGAATTTTAATGTTGTTCTTTTTTTTTTTTGGAGTTCAATAAAATGATTTTACTTAATTACCCATAGTATGAATAATATTTTGAATCCATACTCTTTCATCATCATTAGCAATTTGATAATTAGCAATAAGCCAAAGAAGTACATGTACAAGTGAACCATATGATACTTGTGTTAAATAATTAATTATTGCTAAAACAGTTTGTTTTGTTTCATCTAATGATAATGATGGAAGTTCACCAAGTAAATATATTGTTTTTGATAAATATTCAATATTTGAATATTTTCGTTGAATATTTTCATTATTTATTGTTCGAATTTCATTTAAAAATTCATCTTTTTCTTTTAATGATAAATCATCAAATGGATTATTTGTTGTTGATATTAATTCAATTGAATCAAGTGATGATGAAAATAAAGCATGACCAAGATAACGTGATAACCAATATTTTTTTAACCATATATATAAAATAAATGATGATGATGATTTATCAGAATTTAAATCTAAATGACCAAAGTCTTCTGATATATCATCAGTTATTGATGTTATATAACAAAGCATTAATATAGCAAGATCAAATTGTGTTTGTGTATATGATAAAAGTAAACGAATAAATGAATAATATTGATCAAGTGCACATATTAATGGAATATATTCAATTAAATTATTAATTAATATTTGTAAATTTTCTTCATTATTTATTGATAAATCTGATGAAAAAATTTTATATAATGATTGTTCAAGAGAACGTTGTAATTGAAGAATTTGATATGAATAGGAATCTATAAATAACAAAAATTTAAAAAAAAAGAAAAACAAAACATTAAAATAAATTGATTCAAAAAAAAAAGACACACAACAATTAAACTAACGTGTTTGTTGATTACGATAATATTCTTGAATTCGTTTAACAAATGGTCCACGTATATTTTGTATATAAAAAATTAATTGATTTAATGTATTTTGATTTTTTTCTCTTATATCATTTTTAATATAATTTAATGTTGTTTGTAATATTTGTTCTAAAACATTTTCTAAACATAATTCATCCATACGATTAAGTAAATATTCATTATATAATAAAAAATTTTCTAATGCTTGTTTAACATGATCAATTTGTGTTTCAATACTTGATGCTAATAAACGTGGTAATTGAAAAAAAATAAATGCTGACCAACGTTGTTGATATTCAGTATTATTTGTTGATATTGATGATACATAACCACCAAATGATGCTTGAAGTAAACGTAAATAAAGTAATGAAGGATTTGACATTGTTGAAACATGTTCATAAAATCGAATAACAATTAAAAGAATTGATGATGATTTATGAAGTTGATTTACGACAAGCATTGAAACAATTGTATTAAATATACATGGATTAAATTCGACTTCTTCTTGATGAAAATCATCTGATAAATGTAGACGAGTTATTCTATAAATAAATTTATATTTAATTAAATCTCAATAAGAAAAATTATAAATTTTGATTTTGAACAAGAAAAATACTATATACAAGTTTATAAATGTTGCGATATTTTAGATGAATTTTTATAGATACGGTGCTCCCGTAATGTACACTTGCATATATATAAGCTCATAAGTGATTTCATTGAATCGTATCGTTTTTCATATGATAGATGTTATTATGAAACTTTCATTTATCCAAATAGAAAAACATCACTACTATTTTAAAGTCAAATAATTGGACTAACGAGGGAATATTTTCAACTGCTCAATCGCTTTCGAAATCCTGACTCTATGCATAAAGTAGACTATAGTGAGGTATGAAACACCTCAAATGAATAACTCCTCCTAGGCTTTTTGTCCAAAGTTATAAGCATTTTACTTGAATTTTATAGCCTCTGGCATGGTTAATATCAGCAAATCAAAGAATGATATTTCGACCTGAGATTTTAACCATGACAGAAGCTAAAATTCAAGTAAAATGCTTATAACTTTAGACAAAGAACCTAAGGGAAATTATCCTTTTGAGGTTTTTCCTATCTCATTGTAGTCTATCTTATGCATGGAGTCTAAATTTTTTGACTTGTGACTATTAAAAATGAATCCACATTGTAAGAATTAGAAAAACTTAAAGTTGTTAAGAAAAGATATATGACATAGCAGTTTTTAGAATCGATAAAAACATTAATAATTTTTAATTCACAGTTAGATAATAAGTTTAAATCGTATTTAAGAGAGTTACTCAGATAAGAATAAACTCTAAGAATAATATCTAACTTATGAAAATATTTTTCTATTAAAATTAGTTATCCAAATATAACTTCTATTATTTACTTTTACAAAATTTTGTATTGTAAATAATTAAATAAATTCTTACTTAGAAAGAATTTGCTCATAAACATCTGGTCTTGCAGATTCTCCTATTGTCGTTCTTTGTGCAATTTTAGTTAATTGTTCTTGTAATTGTCTCCATTCTGTTTGTTCTTTTTGTGCTTTTATAGTCATTAACCAAAGACAATAATAAGTTGTATTTGTAAAAAATAAAAGAAATAAATTTGAAACTACTATAATCATTTCGTTTCCAGTTGGAGTCATTTCTTCATTTGAATAAATACATAATGCTGAACAAAGCCATTTTGCAAGTAAATTTATTTGTTTACCAAGACGTGGTGCTTGTTCAGCATTAACATGCATTGTTTTAAGTGTATCTGATAATAATTCAAGTAAAAATTTAATCTGTACATCATCTATAATTGATGATGATGAAGGTTTTAATGAAAGAAGTCGTTCAATAACTAATGATTCATTAATATAACCAGATCTTGTATGAAATTTAAAATATGATTGAAGAAGACTTGATGAAGTTGCTGAATCAATATGTTCAAGAATTTGTTCTAAAATTGAGATGTTGATAAAAGAACAAAAAAACAAAACATAAAATAGATTATTTTATTTTACTTGTAAATAATGTTCGAAATTCTTCTTCTGATCGACATTCAGCAACTAATGGTGAAATTGATGCTGAAAAACTTGTTTCATCAGAACGGAGTTTCCAAGCTTCGATTAATTTTTCTTGTAGAATATTTGCATCAAACACCATTCTATAAGAATTAAATTTAATAAATAAATCTACAAATAATAAATATGAATTAATTGTTATATAATTTTTCTATTATCGAATATTCAAAGTATATTAATTTACAAAAAAAAAAATAAAAATAAACAGAAATGAAGATATTTTAAAATAGATTCTTCAATATACATATTGATTTTGATTTCTCCTGGGTAGAATGAATAGATAAAAGAAAAACAAATTATATTAGAAAATAGAACATATCTAGTATAAAATTAACGTTTAAATAAGATAGTATAAATTCAATGAATATTCTTGTTTTGTCAAGATTATCATTTATATTTTAATCAAATCGATTTGTGATTTTTGTTTTTGTGAGGATTCAATCATATAAAAAAAATATATTTAAAATAGAAATTTTTTTTAAACAACAATCTCAATAGTTCTTTAGTCTTAAAATTTGAATTTGAAGGTAAATTTTCTCATATTAGTGCCTTCCTTTTTTCTAATATAGAAAGTGACTCATCATCAATAACATCGTCTTTTATATTTCTCCAATCAGTCAATCTTTTTGTGGCAATAATAGATGGAGGTAAGTGTCCTTATGATTTTTATCAATGTATACACCTTTTTCGTACTAATCTAAAATCAAAGATAAGACAGAATAACCAGAGAACGAATAACCTTACCTTTTTCTTTTTATATCATTCTGTCTTTTTTTTTCTTTTTGTCTCATTGTGTATACGTATGTCTACAGCTCCTGAGCAAGCATCTAAACCAAGTCGTAATTGGTCTCGATTATTATTGAATAAAGTAGTTATTGTTACTGGTGCTGGTGGAGCTATTGGTTCTGCAATTGCATATGGATGCGTATTGCATGGAGCACATGTGATAGTAGCTGATATCAATAAAAAGGCAGCTGATAAAGTTGTAAGAAAAATTATTAATGAAGATGAAACAAAAAAAGAATGTGTTATGGCAACTGAACTTGATGTTTCTGATGAACAAGCAATTCAAAATGCAATAAAAACTATTGTAGATAAATGGAATACAGTCGATGTACTTGTCAATACGTATGTGTATTGTTTCATCAAATAAAGAAGAATTCATTGTTTGTTTTTTTAAGTGCTGCTATTTTTACATTCGGTTCAGTTGAAAATGCATCAGCAGAAGCATAGTCTGACGTATTGAATGTTAATGTACGTGGTTATGCTCTCATGGCTAAAGCTATTGTTCCTTTACTAAAAAAACAACGATCAGGCTCAATAATTCAAATAGTTAGTATGAGTGGTTGGATTGCTCAACCTGAATTTGTACCTTATAGTACAACAAAAGGAGTTGTTCTACAAATGACACGTAATTTAGCACTTGATTTAGGTCCATTTAATATTCAATATAATGCTATTTGTCCTGATACTATACTTACATCAGCTACAAATAATCATGCAGCTCATTTAAAATTAACAATCGATGAATTTGCTATAGAAGAAGGAAACAATACAATGTTTAAAACGATTGGGTTTACATCAAGAGATAGCTAACTTAA